GTCGTCCAGAAGGATGATGAAAGCTCCACGACCAAACCATACAGCTCAGAGAACGAAACTTCACCAAAATCATTCACCTGGGCTACAAATCTTCTCCACCAATCAAAAAAACTAAAAATGTACAACTAAGGGAAACAATAGGACTCTTCACACACACACAGAAAACATTCAAAAAGGATCTTGCATGTACTATAATGGCTGACCAATCCCATGAACAATCTCACAGCTTTAATGTTCTCTGAATCTGGTCGTCTTCCATCTTTATCTGTTATGAACCCAAAACACAGTACTTGCTGCATTTTAGAAGCGCGAGAGTCTTAAAATATCACAGTCACGGTCATTCAAGAGATAGTCAGACCAATATCTATGGATATTGATCATGTGATGAATAAATAGAAAATAAATAAATAAATAAATAAAAAAATAAATAGAAAACTAGAAAACTCGAAAGAGGCAATGGATAAATTCAGACTACATTTGAACTTCAGTTTTCAGGTATCGTTCTGATAAGCTTACATAAGTAATTCATGAGTAAGGAAAGAATATGCTATCCACTATGCGAACTTCACGAAACCTGTCTTAGTTCATAAAATAAATTTGACCGAATCCACTCTATTCTTAAATTATCGGCATGATTACAATGAAGTGATGAATAACTATTACATGTATTGTATAACAAAGTATTTTATTTTGTGTTTAAAGATATTGATCCTTGTTAACGGTATTCCATCAATCATCCAAACTGACTCAGTACAGATTATTACGATTTAAATGTTAGTTTATGAAATGTCAATTTGAGGCCCACGATTCTCATGAAACCTTTCTCAAAATCACGTTGAATCGATATATAGATGAGTGTTTGTAGGCCTACATTGTGTCAAATTTGCTTTATTGTACTCAATCAAATTAAATGGAATTGTATCAATATTCATGATGAAGCCTCCATGATACTTTGATGTAATTCAGAACACGGCTGAGTATAAAGCACTTCAAATGCATTCGTTATACTCTTTGTTCCATTTCTTTGAAGATCGGCTTCAATCACTCGAATTGATGTCCGCATTTCAGTCATTATTCTAGTCGCTATTCATTCATAAGTCACAGAGATAACTGATATTTATACCTCTGATTTAAGTATTATTTCAAGTCAAAAGTGCAGTGTAGAAACCGCTGATCTATGCTTCATAGAAGAGCAATAGATCTGAAATGCAATTGAATACATGTAATCACAAATGTAGCATGTATGTAGAATGAATAGTTCAGAATGCATTATGAATGTGTATTAGGACAAAGAACTTTCCTGACTGGTTTTATGTAAGCGTGTGTGTGCGCTTTTCTTATATGACTCATCACATATCTGTAACTAATTTTGTGTGACTAGAAATGTCAACTAATGCTTGGTTACGTTAGGTTGGCTTAACCTCCTTCTCCATTGTCTATCATTTTGTCTAACTTTGCATTCCGACCAACGATTGTACAGAATTTGTGTATCCAATATCCGTTCTGGAATTGAGCTTACTTAATTCAGTTATTTATTTCACTCAGAAAATATATTCGAGGTTTTGTGACATGCATTTCAATAACAATCCGTCATACCACCTAAATGGAGTGAGATTTTGGGCCGCTAAAACATTCTGAATAGTTATTAGTCAGAACGCATGTTATAGCACGTGAATTTTATACGGGAATGGTGACTGTATACCACTAATCGAAGGTAAAATCAGTGTTACTTTTGAAATTTCGTGATAGTTTAAATTGTTTGTTGCGATTCATCAATCATAATATAATAATACTTCAATGGATTATCTCAAATGTTGGTCCGCAAAGCGTCATCCACGCTTACTTCATGTGGTAGTGAACATCTCAGTTGTTCCACTGTTCTTATATCAGTTCGTTCTAGTGTGCTGAAATGATATTTAGTGATTTTCGCGTAGACTAAATGAAAGATGACTGATAAAGTCATCAGACTCTTGAATATATACTTGCTTAGACAAACGTTGACGAGTACATTAATCTAAGCAATCTATTCATATTGTTAATAACATGAACATAGCATGAGATAGTGTACTGCTTCAAATGCCGTCAATAATGGATACTTTAATTTTGTCATTGTGATCTGTGTAAATCGCTTGAATCAAATAGAAAGAAATCCTGTAACACGAAGTCGTCCATATTCGGAGCACTATGCTTGAATGGTTCCAATCTCTAGTATGAGATTTGGCACGGCTTGTGGGAGTGGCGTTACGACAAGCAATCGATGGTCGATAATGAATGTTGGTAAATTCCAGAGCAGTCAATCAAAGACGTTAACATGAACGTATAAATTTGTCCTCCTCGAAAGTGATCCCACATAATTTCTAGAGGTACAAGCGATGGTGCAGCACAAAGTCGTATGTCCCACAAATGTTTTCGTTGATATACAATGAGGGTGCTGAAAGCGTAAAGAGCGAGGATCGAGACGGACAATGTTCGTGAATAGTGAAGTTTAGTCATTTATAGGGGAACAATTACAGTATGACCTCTTAGATATTCATGCGTCCAAAAGCTTAAGTCGATTTGCTCGTGATATCCCACTTAGCCGTAGGGATCATTAACGTCAGAAACATTACTATCCCTTCTGCTGTGATGTTAGGCTCTCTTACATTAGTGGTATATATAAATTTTGTTTTTATCTGCTTCCAATGCTACACAGCGACTTGAAATACTCTGACACTACCAACTTCATGCTACAAGCAAATCAGACGGCTGAAGCCTTTGTAATGTCGGTCGAACATTGATTAAGTAAATCTTAGTGCCATGAAGCTAACTAATGGTATCAGTTATGAGGTAATGGTCAGAGTATGCGTGATATAAATTTGATAACAGATCAAAGAATATGAAAGTGGAGCTTAGGGTTGCAAATGTCATGAATAAGACAAGTATATCTGTGTTCAACTGTTTGTTTACGGTACTTTGATGCATTTTTCGATATAAGAAGGACCACGTAATGGCCCATATATGTATTCACTGAACAAGCGGCATTTGGCGGACAATAGATGCAACGTATTAAGAAATGCTGAAGGGCGAAAATATCTATTATATATTATATTATATTATTATTAGCTTTATTCAATATTATAATTTTGGTACAATATAGAATTCTCAGCTCAAAGTATTTCAACAAGTTTCCGTTTCTTTCTTCTTGGTCGGTCCTGGCGATAAATATTGAGAAAACGCCAGTTAGATGTTAGCACTTCAGTGAATGAACAACTGAATAATGTGCATTCTTTTCGTTGTACATTGCCAGCAACCATATTGTCTCTTATTGAGTTTTCTGTAACTTTGACAACGAAAGGTTGTACACTTTTCAGAAACGCAGCAGAATAGGTTATGCGATTAATAAACATAATGATATATTAAAACAAACAACGATAGATAACTTGTTGAAATATCTAGATGGCAGGAACAGGTAGCATCGTCTAACAACTTAAAACCTTCTGGAGAAATTATAGTGTAAACAGTACCTGATTGCACATATATTATTCAGCCCCTAACCTTAAAGATACATTTTGTAGTCACCAATACAGTCTTAAATAAAAAATATCATGTATGCACTTAGTTTCAGTAATTTACATACATTATGGATAGACCAGACCAGCTAGAGATCTGAGATTACCCATCTTATTGCCGAAAGAGAGTGAATTGAATAAAACAGTGGAAAGCTGTAAAGGGATAATCACACTAGATAAATCTCCTACCGATTTCCCTTTCGAAAGGTTATTTCGTTCAATGTTGATGTGATTGAGATTTATGGATGATTTTTTATAATAAGTCACTTGTCTTCTGTTGAGAAATATGGTATTCGTTGTAAGGAATAGGGATGCTTCATCCCTAAAATCCACAGGAACAGGTGTAGTAGAACAGGGCAAATGAGTGGATGATGTATTCGCTAATTGTTCGTAAGAGTCAGTCACAGAGCTAAAACAACTGTGAAGGAGCGATAGCAATGTTCTTAAAGCGACGGGATGTTTGTTCCTCGATAGTTTATTTCGCTGAGAACATTAGTTGGGGAAAAACTTAAATGGGCCAGTTTAGTTGTTTGAAGAGATTATTCAGCAAGTAGGGGTGGAAATGCTCTCTAAAATGTTTTCTATCCTAGAGTAACTACAATTGTAATCCCGAAGAATAGAGAAAAGTTTGAGAGTGATAAACCTGTTAATATCATATTTATTACTATTTCCTATGCATTTTGAGGGAGAGTGAAGTAACCAGTACTCTGGTAACTTTTGTTAGTTTGAGTGGAAGAAAGTTGTGACACGAACAGTCAGGCAGTGATGGAGATATTTGTGGATAAGATGCGTATAACACTGTAATGTACTGAATCGTCAGAAATAGGGGGTTGCAGGATTTGACCTTTTAGTTGGCCTAGAATTTGGTGAAAATTCTCTTTTACTAGAGCCACTGGCCATAATGTGAAGCTGGGTGAGTAGTCCACAGATAAATACGTATGAATGTCAAAGTTTCGTACACAGTAACGAATGCAGATTAGGACAGCCAGTGTATCGGTCACCTCTTTAGCAATTACCACCTACGAACAGAACATCGTCAGACAGATTAGATAATTTTATTTGTAGAATAAACGACTGAATTCCTTCGAGATCGATCTTGTTCTGTATAACTTTAATCGATATTTTCATGTCTTTGCTCAAAAACATCCACTATACCCGCAAATGCTATCAAAATATTTCCTCACAAACCCGAATCTTTTGGTGACGACCTTCATAACATCACTCCTACATTCAGTTATTTGACTGTTATTAACAAGTTGTTTCGATGTACGTTGTGATGTGTGACAATAAAATGATGAATTAATTCAAAATTATAGTATATTATACTGACTACATATTTCACTAACATTGCTATGATTGTCAATAAGAAGATAGATTTCAAAGCTTTATGACAATTTATTTGTTGGCTGATAATAACATCAGGGTTTAACACATTAAGCGTTTAATTCAATTTTATATAATTCTTGGATGCATTCTAGCTACTTCCTTAATCGATCCACACTTTTTTATTAATTCCCGTAGCCTTTGCAAGTCAGACTGATTATTAGCCACGGGGTATGATATGTTAGCTGGTACATCCACATTCAAGAATCTACACAATGGTTCCCAACCATCTCCAAATCGATGTACTAGAAGGCGTTCGGATGGTATATTTTCCTGAAGAGCTTTGATATATTTTTCATAACATTCAAGTAACATTGCATCATCATCAAAATCAATATCTTCCTTCTGAAATGCTAGTTTCAATGAATCAGTAAGCAGTTTGTCCAATTCAATGGGGATCCCTGCACGTCTTTTCCCCTCATCCATGTGTATTTTACGTGGATCATCTGATTTAGGCATGACCACTTGTCGGAAACTAGCCAACCAATCGTTTTTATCGCGAACCGTCAATACAACCTATATAAAAAAAAATCTGTGATATAATAAGGTATTATAAATATAGAAATAACACATTTCAAAAATCATTCAAAGATGTATACCAAAACATTATTTTGGTCTGTTTTAGGAATCACGTTTGTTTGAGCAATTGAGTAAATTTTCGGGATAACTTCAATGTTATAAGTGCATAAATATTAACCTTCAGCAGCCGAGTTAAACCATTCATTACAGTTTTATAACGAATAGTCATACACGACTTTCACAATGTTTATAGCTTAGAAATGGAGTAGATTCAGTGCAGTGTCAATGTGCCTTAGTCATAACATTCATGAGGCTGAACATACAGAATTCGTCTCCTCCAACAAACATGAGTATTAACTCTCAAAAATCGTAAATCATAACAGTATACCAATTACCGTACCTTTGAATCAGGATATGTACTCATCAGCTCCCTGTAGAATGCACATGATTGAGCATCAGTCACACCTACATAACAATCCAATATCTCACTCAAACATTTATGTATCTTCCCCTCACTATGTGTCGTTCGTACTTCATCGACAAGCATTTGCCATTTAGCAATGTCACATTGTTTTCTGCTCACAAGTTCATAACCATGATAACAAGGTTGAGAGTAAATTATTTCTAACGCCTTTTTCATACTGGTCGTTCCGGTTCTTGGCAGACCTGCTCCAATAACTAATAATGATGTTGGGGTTTCCGACATAATTTCAACTCTGAAGGGAGACATGAAAAAAACAAATAGACAGGAATCAGTGCATTACAATGTTTAATTTCAGTTAGAACATTAATCTTATTTTATCGATCGGTATCACGTATTTCAAAATTTCTTTGTAAACAAACGAGCGTTCCACAAATATGAAGTGATTATGTCCGTTTAACCGTGATCATTGTTTATCTATATAATGTGTAATTCATGATGAACGTTTTATGGACACTGACGCATTCATGGAAGTGGAGAATGAAAATAACACGAGAACAAAGCAAGATAAGAACTTTCAATATCTCTGAGATATTCGTCAGCCCATTACATTACAAATAAATATCTGACTACGCAATCGCTTATTAGGATATTTATACATGAAGAATAACAGTTGAACTAGACTAATTTGTATTAAAATAATGAGCACAACCGACGAATACGAAATTACTGTAGATAATGAATCAAGGTAGCTTCAATGTGGCTAACTGATCTAGTTTGAATATTTTCGTCTCTTTAATTTAAACACACAAAGTATTTGACCCAGACGGCCAGAACTAAAATATGCGCTCAGACGATACTACAAACGGACAACCAAAATTTATTGAAATTGTTCAATGAGAAATGGATTCGCAACTCCATTCTATCACAAACTTGATCGACATGAGTCATTCAAGGAACAACGTATTCCCAATTATCCAAATGATACGTTCACAATTTCTCATCAGGATTCATTTCGTCCCTTGGTAAATCATGTTGGCAAACTTGGTGTTGGGTTAAAACTGTTCATATATCTCAGTTAGTTCGTTGGTTAGAAGATAAATGACAGACGACAAGACAAACTAGTTCTGTCGTTTTTCGTCTATTTTCACTCATTGATGATGGTCTACATTCCTAAACTGACTAGACATATATTTTATATGTAACATATTTTTACACAACGGTCATTAGGTTCATTTATTCTACAATTGATGTACATTACTCGTCGAAATGTTTGTGAATCTTATCAAGTTATTTCTAATTGTTCTTATCATTAGGTATAGTCGTAATGTGAAAAGTGTCAACAAAGAGAAAATTTACGATTTTTGCTGATAAAACTCACTCATTAAATCTTTTTGTCATTATCATCATTAACACACTGAGATGACCTTGTTTTGTCGTACGATTTGGATTCATTCATTCATTTAAACATCTTTGTCGCATAATTAAATAAAGTCTGATGATGATCTAGCTGAGAACAGTAATATTTTACTAGATGTATAATTTAATTAGTCGAATACATAATTTTATGTAAGCTGCATCGCCATTGAAAACTTGGAGACATTGGATGGCCGTTTTGTCCTCTTCTAGGACTCCCCAGTAGTGTGCACCCATCCTGCGTGTGGGGCTCAAACACAGGAACGTCGATCTCGCGCGCAAGCACTCAACCTCTTGACCACTGAGTCGGCATTTTGATCCACTCATGCATTCGATATCGTGGATGCGCACTGCTGAGGAGTCCTTACTTGCTTGAAACGACCGGTCAGTGCCTCCAGGTTTTCAGTGGTGGCTACTCTCCCCTTCCCCTTCCTCCTTCTTCTCGTGGTCGTGTTTTGTCAAGATCGTTAGAGCGGAAGCAAGATTATAATAGACAGATTGGAAGAGGCGTGAAGATTTGAACTACATATATGACCTAGCTCTGCTATCCCATAAACACCGACAAATACAACACTTATCCTCAACACGCTTAGGAGAAAAGACGAGATCCTGGAATACAACACAGAAAGCACCAACTACAGCAAATATGGTTAACAAGCTCCGAAATAGTCGAAAAGTCTTAAGTACTTGAGCAGGGTCATCGATAAACAAAGGGTACCTAATGCTGACGTAAAGGCACGTATTGGCAAGGCAAGGACAGCATATACACATTCGAAGAACATATGAGACTGACATCCACTGTCAATCAACATCAGAGTCGGAAATTTCATTACAGACGTCAAGTTGTTTGTAAATTACGGATACGAAACTTGAAGAACCACTCCAACCATCATCAAACAAGCACATGTATTTATAAACAATTGCCTACTCATGACACTACAGATCCATTGGTCGGATATCGTCAGCTCTTAGCTCAGAAGGAAATTGTAAAAAGACACTGTCGCTCGACAGGACACACATGGTAGGGTTCAAACTGAATTATGAGATAATCCTCAGCTTGGAATCCTGGAGTCCTAAGGAATAGAGGAAGACTCAAGGACATATTAGATGGGAAAAAGCAGGTGCACATCAAAACACTGAATAGCAAATGGAAACAGCTAGAAATGAGAGCTCAGTAGAAATTTAATAAGAGAATCTCTGTCGGCGGCTTTTTCTTCTACATGAGGGGCAGTTTCAGTAAATACTATTTACGATAAAAATTCGCCCGAATCCCCCTAAGGTTGTTGCGAATATCAAGACAGTCCTACTGTATGGAGCGAAATCTGGAGAACAGCGAAAGCTATCATCCAGAAGATACAAGTGTTTTTAATAGTTGTCTACACAAAATACCTCGGTCCGCTGGTCAGACGCTATAAGCAACAATCTAATGTGGGAGAGAAGAAACAATATTCCAGAGGAGGAAGTAATCAGGAATAGGCTCTGTAAGTGCATAGAACAGATATTTAGGAAATCACCCAAATGCGACACAAGGCAAGCTGTCACCTGGAATCTTCAAGGTTAATGGAGAAGTGGGAGACCAAAGGACAGAATACGCCAAGAAATGGAGACAGACATGAGAAGAATGAACAACAATTGTATAGAACTAGAATGAAAGGCTTAGAACAGAGTGGTTTGAAGAATGCCGGTCAGAGGCATATTCTCCACTGTTTAAATATTTGAATGGCAGTCAGTTGATGAACTTATCGATTAAATTTTTAAATAGCAGACAATTGATGACTCATTGATTATTGTTTAAAAATTTCCTATGACAAAATCGATATATATTTGTATAAATACGCTTGACTTGTATGCTTGATCTGATCTGCCTGACCTGACTTGGTATCTGCTGTTGCTTGTAGAATACACCTTCTACGCCTTACCAAGACTTCTTGATCGAGTTAGCTGAGTCGAAGACAACGGACCAGAATAGTCTATTGAGTCTCTGAATCCTGAGCCTTCGTTCCGTTCCGAATAAGTCGAATCAGTAGTAACCTCAAGATTAACGAACCTAACAAAAGAACACAATTTCGGGTGTTACGTCTTTTGGGTAATCCAGGTTCAACTCTCTATAGTAATGTACTTTAACATATTTCATCGTATAGTCAATAAGTACTTAATTCATTCACACAGTTTGTATTGGAGTAATCAGTCATATGGTTTCACTGAAAAACGTTTTGTTCAGAAAACATTTATTAAACATTGATCAATCTCAATGTGGTATATTGTCTATCGGTTGTGCTGAGCCTCAAAAATCGCCTTTTCTCAATACGTTTGTGAAGGACAGAAAACTTGAACATATTAGTTTGTTTCTGATGTTTTGTAAGTTTATTAAATGTACTTGTTAATTGGGTCAGTTTTAGCAGATCTCGTTTTTTGCGTATCCCAATATATTACTTGTTAATATTAAGTAGATTGAATCAATTTTAAGCATTCAGCCAACTCTGAGTCTCTTCGTTGTGATATGCGCTATTTTTATGTATACAAATGAGTCTATTACATTTGAAACATTTATTAGTGCATCATTAATGACGCATATTTGGAAACACAACGGTGAGAGAAAGATGTTCAGTATCGACTTAAAGGTCAGCTCAGAGAACAAAACTCCATCAAAAACTTAAAGGTGTATTTTACACAGTCAACATTAACGTATTCTCGTGAATTCTGTTTTTGTAAGGTTATTTAATTATTTTATTCTCAATGTATCCTCCTTTGTACTTGTTGTATTCTGTGATATTTACTCGTTAAATCAGAACCTAAACAACTGTGGACGATTTTGCCTCATCTTACTGTGCTTAGCGATCTATATATATGTTTCAAGACAACATATGTACCTATATGACATATGAGTAAGAGTATTACTGATCTTGTTTCATATTTAAAGTCAAAATAATACATATAATCAAATTTCACTGTTCTCGTTTAGATCATCATCGGACTTTTCTTAATTCTGCGACAGTGATAACCAGAGTTATTGTGTTAGTCGGTCATCAGATACCTAGTGTTACATTGGCAGTATGCTCAGAATTCTTTATATGGTTTTAAGATATTCGAAAACGTATTGAATTTAGCAGATTGAACATGGATGCGGATGAGTTGAGATGTCGGCACTTGTCAAAATAAGACCACAATAATGGAATTCTCGACCGAATAAATACGTATGTGTGTTCTTTGACACAGTGCTTACAGAACGTCACAAACATAAACGGATCTTATCTAAATTGTAGCATGAAATATTATCATTGTGCCTATGAGTCAGTTAATCACTAATGAGTTAACATGAACAACTGCGAGGTTTTCAACATGGGGGAATGGAGGTCCAATTTTCACTAAAGAAAAAACACTGGGTGAGTGATATAGAGGTTATCCAGTGTGTTATTCAAAAGGTAGCAGACAGAACTTCATCGATATCAATGTTCAGATCATTTTTTTGAAAAGCATATTTCAGTGAATCCACGACCATTTTGTTTTTCTCGTCAACAAAATGCAATGCCTGAGTCGCTTTATCTAGTTTCTGATGGTGTGGATCGTTTGACCTTGGCAATACCCACCGTCGTCCACTAGAGAATCAAGCACTTTTATCTCATACAGTCAATATGACCTGAAACATGCAACATACCAATACAAAAGTCATAGGCATGTAATTTGCTGTGTATGTAATTTGCTGAATATACAGATATACATAAACATCGACAAACCAAGTATATGTACGTAAGACGTAGTGAAATTATGTTGTCTCACGTCACTGACATTCAGTTATTACTATCAACGGTGGTGGATAACAAAAAACTTACTAATTCCCTCATACCCGTTAACAAGTTAATCTCCAAAAC